GACAACAAGGTGCAGGGCTGGATGAACACAGCAGGCCAAGCAGCATCTATGATGCTGCTTGGCCTGCTGTGTTCATCCAGCCCTGCACCTTGTTGTCTCGGATTCTCCAGCATCTGCAGTTCCTACTATCTATGCCTTATACTTGAGCTGCTTTAATTGTAACTGAATATCACCTGATTATAATGTTTCACTGTCTAAATTATTTGGCTTTCTCTGTACTTCTTCTAAATCAAATTGCTGTGCTAGTATCAAAATAAAAACAGGTTGTAAGTGGAAGGAACGTGGAAGGTAGTTCAATGACTAGTATTCATGAGTTGCAGAGTTGATTCTTATAATTCTTATGATGGTCACAATGGTGATTCCAACTCACTTTTCTCTGGATGCTTCCAATGGTTCCCAAGAGACACAAACTGGCTGGTTCACTTATAAAAGGTATCTGACTTATCAGGTAAAAGTCAAAGTTTGCAACAACTGCTAAAGAAAAGATGACTTTTTTTCAAGTTACGAATGGGTTAGACTGCAGCAAGTCAGCCCCTCAGCTGGTGGAGATCTAAACACTTTTCTGTATTTGTTCCGATCACCAAACTGTTCAGTGACCTGAGAACTAATCACATGCAGGCAAAAGGCTTGGTGTCAATAATTGGCCACTAGTCCATAGACCAATTAGCTTCTTGTTGCCATCCAGCTGTGTCTGTACACAGAACTCATCAGCTGAAGTTCATCCACCACCACTTCAATTTACTACTTGTTCAGACAGCTGGTTATACAATGCTTGTCATAAGCATCAGGTCACTTGCTTTTCAAAACTTGCAGCAATCCTTTAAAACACTGGTCTTGAAACAAGTTCTTTCTAATTTCAGTCCACAATTTTAAAATGTACAAAAATAAAAAAAATACTGTATTTACTTTGGCCAGTGCACAATTAGAGAGGGGACAATGGAATTCTAATGCATTGAATTGAATTGAATTAGCTTTATTGTCACATACTCAAATGAGTACAACAAAAAGTGTATAAGTCGCCACTTACAGTGTCATCTTTGGTACAAAGGTACCTAGGTACAATTCTTAGTTAAAGAATATATAAGCGAAGAAAAAAGGTTCCATAATAGCTATACGCAGTATGACCATAGGTCAGAAAAAAAAGAACAAAGTTAAAAAGACAGGCATCACCATATCTTTCCAAAGACTGCTACCTTTACCCTATTTCTCAACTGCTAACAGTTACCCTTGTAACCTCTCTGCTTCCTCACCTTACTAAAATCTCATTGTTTACAATCTACTGTAAGTTGTGAGTTAGTAATCAATAAGGAATAGGAATGACAACATGTTTTCATCTTACTGGCAAGGTTCCATCTCTTATTGCCTCAGAAACTTCACTGGTCCAATAGACTGTCGACACTGATATCACCACCTGTCCAGGCCACTGAAGAACCCATTTGTTACGTGGAAGCTATAAATCCACAAAATAAAAGTACATACATGAATTATTTTCTATTGCAAACAAGACAAGTTATTTACATTTGAGGTCCATAGTATACTTTGCAATAAACCAATGTCTAGACCAAGTTCATTTCCTTGGATATATACATCAAATATTTCCTATAATCCAATATTTTGCTACTTAAATCAAAGCCTATGTTTGAATAGTTGGAGCTATTATAATGTCCATGATCTAGTCTGCATTGGGTCATTGTAGATATTGTCACTTATACTCATCTGTTTGTGTTTTATAGAATGATACATTTTGTACAGTTTAGATGAAGGTTATTGTGCCTTGTTGAGCCTGAAATAGTCAATAATCAAACAGTTAGAGAACACTGTTACAATCCCTATTAACACTGACAATATTTTAAAAAGAGATAAGAAATTTACCATCACCAACTCAAAGGATCATGCAAGACGTCACATTTTAAGACTGTTACTGTGTAAACAAACTAAAACTAACATTGACTAAACATTAATAAAAACTAAAAGAACTGCAGATGCTGCGAATCAGGAACACAAAGAAAGTTGCTGGAAAAGCTCAGCAGGTCTGGCAGCATCTGCGAAGGGAAAAACAGACTTACCATTTCGGGTCCAGTGACCCAGTTCTGAGGAAAGGTCACTGGAGCCAAAACGTTAACTCTGCTTTATCCTTCACATAAATTAAACATTACTTGATTGGCAATTAAAAAACTAGGCTACAGAAAAGGTGATCCATATTAAGTTATTGGAACGAAAACAACACAATGACTCATTTATGCATTCTACAGGACTCTTAGCAGAAATGCATTCTGGTAACTAAAACCCCATGCTCCTCTCACTAACAGGATCTCTTCTCTCTGCTTCACTTGGGTGAATCTTTGAGTCCCCTTCAATATAAGGTCCCTCTCTTAATCCTTTGTGCATAACTGAGTGCACATCCCATTGTAAGGCTCCCTCTAGTTTTTAACTCTTCACAATCCATGTTTCTTCAAATAGGGTTCCACCCTCTTTGCTGAGCGGTTAACCCAAAAGCAACTCCCTTTGTGTTGCCTGGCACAGATATCAGCCTTTACTGTACATCTTCCTCCCCCAGATCTCTTGGTTTAACTGTCCATGAGAGATTGTGGGTGAAATTTAAATCCTGCTCTCCACTGTAGAGATTTTAAGGAGGCGTGGAGATCATATAATCAGTTGGGTAGATTACCTGCATCTATCGCAGGCCAGTCTGTGGCATTAAGGCCCATGGACAACCTTCATGCTGCCAATTAAAGCCCTTACACAGACAACTAATGCCCCCTTAAGTGCATCACCCTGTGCCACTGGTATTATCCCAGCAGCAGGTGGGGGCCTGTCATACAGGGAGCATGACAAGCAACACTTATGGGGTCGTTTGGTGGATCCAAGCCTCTTGTTCAAAGGCACTCAGTGCCGAAGTGAGGAACTTGGCATTGAGATAGAAAGGACCTGTAAAGATCTATACCCCTACCCTTGCCCTAACGCTGTTCCCCCACAGCCTTCCACCTGATATAATGAAAGGGGAAAATGACTCAATTGACTACAAATAAAATAATGGCAATGGAGAAAATGAGGCAGCACAGTGGCTGAGTGGTTAGCACTGCTGCCTCATTGCACCAGGGACCCAGGATTGATTCCACCCTTAGGCGACTGTGTGTGGAGTTTGCACATTCTCCCCGTGTCTGCGTGGATTTCCTCCAGGTGCTCTGGTTTCCGTCTACAGTCCAAAGATGTGCAGGTTAGGTGGATTGACCATGCTAAATTGCCCATAGTTTCCAGGGATGTGTAGGATAGGCGAACTAGCCATGGGAGATTGCCCATAGTGTCCAGGAATGGGCAGGCTAGGTGGATAGTCATTAGAAATGCAGGATTACAAGGATAGAGTAGAGGGTGGGCCTCAGTGGGCGGCTCTTCGGAGGGTTGGTGTGGACTCAATGTGCCAAATGGCCTGCTTCCACACTGTAGGGATTCTATGAAAATAATAGGAGTAAAAATAATCAAAAGGCCAGAGACCTGAGGGTTTCTATTCCAATTGTGAGGAGTTGATGAAGAAATTATTTATTCTTTCATGGAATGTTAAATTGCCCAGGCTAGCAGTTTTGTCCCATCCCTATTTGCCCTGAATTAAGTGGCTTGTGATGCATTTCAGGGGCAGTAAAGAATCAGTCACAAGTACAGATGACAGATTTTCAATGACTCAGACAGGTTTTCTCAGCAATCAACAATGGTTTGATGATTGCCATTAGATTAGTTTTTAATCCAAAATTGTAGCAATTAAATTTAAATTTCACCATCTGCCATGGTGGATTTTAAACCCATGAACATGTCCCCCGTGTATTAGCCTAGCCTCTGGGTTACAAGGCCAGTGAGAACACCAGTACACCACCATCTCCCTTTAGGATCTCTAGTGCTGATCTGCCCAAGCTTTCATGATTCAGATATTGTTCCTGTGGCTCAGAAAATTGTCATGAGTGTACATTATTTAGAAAGGGTAAGAGATGAGTCAGAACATTCCAGGTTTCTTGCTCCAAATTACAAGAACCAATTGTTAAAGAAGAGCCATTGAACACTTGGCTCAACGCAAAGTGATCAGAGTAGGAGCATTTATAATGGGCAGGTCATATCGAACAAATCGATTGTAACAAACCAAATGTGGAAAATAATGAAGTCAAATAGAAATGTTAACATACGCTTTCATAAAGTATGATAACAAGAGGGTGAAATGAATTAAATTGTGAAGATAGCTTTGATATACTCATCTTCCCTTGAAATAAAAAGCTAGTGGGTAATCTAATTGAGATGTTTAAGATGATTAAAGCAGTGCAAAAAATAGAGAAAAGCCAGTTCCTGAGGGATACAGAACTAGGGGTCAGGAACTTTAAGGTAAAACCAGGTCAACTGAGGGGTGGTGTCAGGAAACAGCACTTTAAACAAAATGGAAATCTGGAACTCTCTCCCTGGATTGGGCTTCAGTCAAAATTTGCGAAGCCGAAACTGGCTGATTTTTGTTGAAGGAGGATCCTAACAGTATCAGAATCAAACCGGAGAGAGGGAGTTAACATACGTGTTAGTCCTGGCCCAACTGAAGGCAGAACTCCTCAGCATCCTCTGGGCTCTGAGATAAGAGTCTGGCTGGTTCCTGGGAAAACCGAAAGAACTGCGGATGCTGTAAATCAGAAACAAAAACAGAAGTTGCTGGAAAAGGTCAGCAGGCCTGGCGGCATCTGTCTAGAGAAATCAGAGTTAATGTTTCGGGTCAGGTGCCCCTTCTTCAGAATTCAGGTGCTACCAGACCTGCTGAGTTTTTCCAGCAATTTCTGTTTTGGTTACTGTGGGAGTCCAACAGTTTGGGAGAGAGAAGCGGCAAGTTGGAAAGGCAGGGTGAGTGGTAAAGTGGCAGACAGTTAGAAATCATAAGAGTTGGCAAGCCAGAGAGAGGTAGTGAGCTTGGATACCTCAGAGAGGGCAAAGGAGTTGTCTCTGTTTCTGGCTACCAGTGTGGCAATTTCTGTGCCTTCAGAATGGATCTTAACCCACAACTCACACAGCCCACTATCAAACTGTCAAATTAAAAGTAGAATGGATCACAGTGGGAAAAATAGTTAGGGAAGCACTGCCCTCTCCAATTATTCCCTGAGTATTCTCTTTAAGTGGACAGTTCTTTTCAAGCATGTACCCAATCTATTTTGTAAGTTACCCTGGAAATGGTACACAACTCCCTTTCAGACTGTGTGTTCCAGATCAAAACAATTCACTCCTTTGGAGAGAAATCATCATCTCTCCTAGACAATTGTAACCCAAATAAAAGTTGCAGGTCAATATGCTGCATTAGATTATTGATAAGTAAAAATATTAAACTGAATAAATAAATGGTACAAATTCCATAGAAATAACAAAAAGCCAATAGCAAAGCCAAGGCAGTTCTCACATTAACACTATTAAAATCAAAACTGTGCATGATTGTGTACCTTTGCCTTAAATTTTTAAAAAGTGCAAAGAAATGCACTAATTGTGGTTGACAATTAGGTCCTATTACCTGAACATAGTTGGAAATGCCTTCTTTAATAACATGCTTAATGCTGCTAAGCATCATTTCTTCAACTTGCAAAAGCCATTTCTCCACCATACCCTATAATAGAGAAACCACAACAAATCAAATCATTTTTTAAATCTGATTCCAGACACCCTAGAGTGAGCTTATTTTCCAAAAGCAATGAATGTCAGTGTGCACACCAGCATATTATGGAGACAATTCCCATGATTTCCCAACCATTAAACATAATGGGGAGCACCCAAAAATTTTCCAAGACATGTTCTCACCACACATGGGTGGCATCTGCAAGCATAACCTTGTGCAACCAGCCCTGGATTTTCCCCACTTTCATAGTCAATTGGGCCACATTGAACTAAGTGCTATTAAAATTAGCTACCAGGGTCCTTTGGCAGTGGAAGTGTCCTCACCTCTGCACAAGCAAGTCCAAGTTCAAGTCCCACCTGGCTCAGAAACGTATTGGAACATGTTAACAAAAGACCCTTTTTTAAAATTAGCCAAGAGCCTACCTACAATTTGGTCCTTGCAAATGCTGCCAAGTTTTATTGATCTCATAGACATTACATGTAATTAGGGGACAGGCATATTTCAGAAATGGGGGGTTGGTGTAATTCTTCACGTAACTCCAATATCTAAGATGTTTTTCTAACAATAAACAGCGTATAATGGGCTAGCATGTAACTTATTAACTCATTTTGAATCCACCTTTACGGATCCAAGTTATGAACACGATTCCTAAATTATAAGTGCTAAAGGCTGTGCACCTCACTATTTAACATTCAAAGGAATAGGAAAACACAAACTTACTTCTGTAATGCCAGTTCTAAATCAGAGCAATTTTACAACACAACAAAATAATTTCTACTGTTTTCCAGCCAACTTAATTTTTTAAACTCTGTCTTTGTGGAGAATTAGATTGTATTTTCTACATGTTTTTTATTGTATCACAATCTGTTACATTAATACAACCAAAGTTTCCCAAACTGAACTTTCCTAAACATGCTAGAATGGGTGAACACATGACAGAATGAACACAGGAAGGATGTTCCCAATGACTGGGGAGTCCAGAACCAGGGATCACAGTCTAAGGATAAAGGGTCAGCCATTCAAGACTGAGATGAGGAGAAATATCTTCACTGAGAGGGTGGTGAGCCTGTGGAATTCTCCACCACAGAAAGTGGTTGAAGCCAAAACATTGAATGTCTTCAAGGTGAAGTCAGGCATTGTTTTTACAGTTGAAGGGATCATAAGATTTGGGAAGAAAACAGGAACAGGGGACTGAGTTGGATGACCAGCCATGATCATACTGAATGGTGGAACAGGCTTGAAGGGTTGAATGGCCTAGTCCTGCTTCTACCTTCTGTTTTTCTTTAAAATCTATTTTTCTCTGTTTTGATAGTTTCAAACTTTGATATCTTTAGCCCATTTCCAGTTATCACCCACACCACCCCTTGAAATGAAAATCTATCATTCAGGTCACTTTCTGCCAAGTCAGGTCAGCGGAACCAAGAATTTTCCCAAATGCACTCTTGCCTCAGCAGAAATCTTTTTGAAAAATTTAAAATTAAAGGAAGACAGAATAATTAAATTATTGTTTTAAAAGGATGATTGAGAAACTACAATCGTCAGGCTTCCATTCTATAAGGGTGAAAACCTTTCTCTATATCAGATAGGGATTTTAAAGAGGAGTCTGAGACCCATGTTCAAAAGCATAAATTGATCTTTATTCAAGCTCTTTACCACACGTGGGAGAGAGGCCAGAGATGGCTCCGCATCTGTCTTTCACATGGAGCCCAGTTGCCCTCTTAAATACAGCTCAGGTCAGAGGTAAGTGACACTTCCTTCCCCAATAAAGAATAGGGTATTTACACATACCACAATGGTTATATGCATAATTGACATCCACGCTTGCCACATCCCCTCTGACCTACACATCCAATCCTGTGAATACACGATCAATGATGGACAACTTTATGATCCACCTTAGGTCCTCCCATCATCTCGTGATGTTTGCCAGGATCCCATGACCTGTCATTGGGCTCTTATGATTACCACATTCCAACACTAATTGTTATGTCCCTTCCTAGATACTTGCCATCCACATCATACACTTGCTTATTACTAATGACTTTTCAAATTCGGTCATGAATTCATATTGCTGATCTTAGTTCAGAAAATTTTTAAAAAGTTCATTTCTACCAATTGTTATAATATTACTAATATCAGCTCTAATATAAAGTTACTTATAAAGTTATATGTAGTTAAACCTAATACTATGATTCTGTGACAAAGCTAACAATTTCAGGAGCAGCTTCCCTCTTATCCAACTTACAAAGCAGCAGTTGTCTATTCTCTCAGCCGTGGTGACCCTGTTTCAAATTGTTTCTACCCTCCTCCCCAGTTATGTTATTTGTCTCTTGGTACTCTTACGAGGTTAGCTGTTTATACCTTTTTGTTATTCTAATCTTGCTGATGGAGAAAAAGTTTCTTCAAGGGCGTTTATCAAAAATGCATCCAAGGCTAACTGCCTTCAGAAATATAATTCCCCAATATCTAATAAATTTAAACTTCTATTCTCGTATGAATATGTGTCTACTCTAATATGTAATTATAATTATTTAAAAATCGTCATCTCAGCTAGATCAAGCTTTTCCTTTCTATTTCATATAAAAATCAAAAAGCTCAAATCAGATGGTTTTCATCTGAGCTGCATTATCAGAATCTTACTGTTTGCATACCTTACTAAGACTCAGAGGCATTTTGTTGTGTGTCTGTGAAGGCCATGATTTGAACTGTATGAAATGCTATATTAGTTAAAATTTCCTTCGATTGTCTGTGTCAGTTAAAAAGAAAACTCCTAATAGTCATTTTGTCATATTTCGCCCTGAGCAACTACAACAGTCTATAATTTGGGTTCTTCTATAATCACTGAAAGAGCAATGAGACATGGGAAGCAACAATGTACCTTTGCTTTAGCTGGGTTGATCAGTTTAACAATTGGAACAATTTCATTTTCGGAACTGATCATCCCTGTGATTTGAAGCTGATCAGTGAACTGAAGTTTCGCGATCCCTTCAAAGCACTTCTTCAGGTGTGGCTGAACCCGAAGCGGGTCTTTGGTTTCTGAGAGAATCTCAAGCAGTTCATCATTGGACAAGAAAAAGAATCTGGAGTGAAAAGCAACAGCAGGACAAAGACATCAAGCAAATGAACTCAACCTGACAACGTTAGACTTTAATACACAATGCAGAGTGAGGAGGAAGGATTCGTGGGAGTGAGGATATGGAGCAGGGTTGTATCAGCACAACTACGGCAGTGGGAACCTATCAATGGAAGGAAAAGGAAGACATCTTAGCAAGTCTAGTGAGGACGAAGGCATCATCAAACCAAGTGCAGTGGAATCAGAGAAAAGGGGGGAGGAAATGTTTTTAGAGGAAACAATTGGCAAGAGATAGAATCATGGACAATTATACTTGTATTACAGTAAAGTGAGGTGCTTCCTGGTCTATCCCAGGTCTCAGGAATCCCTGCAGCTGAACATCTTTGTGTCCCTCAGACCTGGAGGTTGGGTGATTGGTGCTCCAAAGCTCCCAGTGGATATTGCTCTGATATCCAAATTACCCCCAGACCCATGATTTAGGAGGGGCTCCACGGTGATGGGTAATGGAGCACGTGAATCCCTGAGTGGTGTACTTTTGCCAGGAGAACAGGGTCCTTGTATTTTTCTTGGGCTCTGAACCACTGGGAGGCCAGATCTGTACCTACTTCAGAATATAGCTATCTTTATTTGCAGTAGTTCTGAACTTTTAAATGTGATAAAGTAAACAGGATACCCCATGCTGCACTGCTGCTTGGTTGGTTGTGAATTAACTGTACCGAAGTCTACAATGCTCTCTTCAAGTGGGTGAGGGGGCAAATCAATGGTAGATGCAGTATAATTTGGATAAATGTGAAGTTATTCACTTCGGAAGCAAAAACAAGAAGGCATATTACTACCTGAATGACTGTAAATTGGGAGAGGGGAGTGTGCAGCAGGACCTGGGTGTCCTTGTGCACCAGTCGCTGAACGTAAGCATGCAGGTGCAGCAGGCGGTAAAGAAGGCAAATGGTATGTTGGCCTTCATGGTGAGAGGTTTCGAGTACAGGAGAAGGCACATGTTGTTGCAGTTAAACAGGGCTTTGGTGAGGCCACACCTAGAATACTGTGCACAGTTTTGGTCTCCTTTTCTGAGGAAGGATGCTCTTGCTCTCGAGGGAGTGCAGCGAAGGTTTAACAGGTGATTCCGGGGATGGCGGGTCTGATGTACGAGGAGAAATTGACAAGGTTGGGATTGTTTTCGCTGGAGTTCAGATGATTGAGGGGTTATCTCATAGAGACTTATAAAATTCTAACAGGACTCAACAGGGTAGGTGCTGGGAGGATGTACCTGATGGTGGGTGTGCCCAGAATCAGGGGTCACAGTATGAGGATTTAGGACCATTTAGGACAGAGATGAGGAGACATTTCTTCACCCAAAGAGTGGAGAGCCTGTGGAATTCATTACCACAGGAAGTAGTTGATGCCAAAACATTGAATATATTCAAGGGGCAACTAGATATAGTACTTGGGGCGAATGGGATCAAAGGTTATGGGGAGAAAGCAGGACTAGGGTATTGAGTTGGACAATCAGCTGTAATCGTGATGAATGGTGGAGCAGGCTCGAAGGGCCAAATGGCTTCCTCCTGCTTCTATCTTCTATGTTTCTATGTTTCTTCTATGCCAGTGAATTTGGTCAAAAATCATACGACACCAGGTTATTGTCCAACAGGTTTATTTGAAAACACAAGCTTTCGAAGCTCTGCTCTTTCCTCAGGCGTATTGTGGAAGAGGAGGTATACCGATACAGAACTTTTAAGCAGAAAGGTAACAACCCTAAAAAATGGCTCACTGACTGCATCCTGTTGAATCTTTAATCAGTCAGAAAGGAGACACAGGTTTTTATTGATTGAAGTGCAAATCCCAGAATTTCTTTCAAGTTTGGGGTGGCACGGTGGCTCAGTAGTTAACACTGCTGCCTCATAGCGCCAGGGACCCAGGTTCAATTCCACCCTTGGGCAACTGTCTGTGTGGAGTTTGCACATTCTCCCCGTGTCTGTGTGGGTTTCCTCCGGGTGCTCCGGTTTCCTCCCACAGTCCAAAGATGTGCAGGCTAGGTGGATTGGCCATGCTAAATTGTCCATAGTGTGTTCAGGGAGATGTAGATTAAGTGGGTTACAGGGGGATGGGTCTGCGTGGGGTGCTCTGAGGGTCGGTGTGGACTTGTTGGGCCGAAGGGCCTGTTCCCACACAGTAGGGATTCTATGATTATTGCCCCAAGATAAAGGCTTCATCAGTATATACAAGAGACGACATCTCAGGTCAGACAATGCATTTTAGGTGTGAGGCCTTGTTTATGATCTGTCTGTGTTTTAAGTCAGGCTGGTTTTATTTTTTTGAGCAAAATTGAATGTATCCGCAAATACACAAACACCTTAGATGAAATAATTCACTCCATACATATGTGTGCGCATGAGTGTGTGTGTATATGTGTATGTGTGCGCTTGAGTGTGAGTGTGAGCGTGTGCGAGTGTGCGAGTGTGCGAGAGAGCGTGTGTGTGTGTGTGTGTGTGTGTGTGAGTGAGAGTATATAGTGTGGTGGTGTCACCTGTGGCACAGGTGACACGACATGAACACAACAGCATGGTTGAAGTCGTCCTGATGGGTACAGAACTTGGCTATCAGCGTCTGCTCGGCCATTTTGCATTATTGTGTATCTCAAAGTCCGCCTTGGAGGACGCTTTCCCAAAGATTGTACTCACGGTGAGGAATCACTGAAACAACCAGATAGCGATATCAACAAGTTTCATCCCATCATCAGATTCACTATGGACTACACTTCAGAATCAGTCTTTCTTGGACATGCGCATCTCCATCAAGGACGGACACCTCAGTACCTTACTCTAACGTGAGCCCACAGATAACCTCATGATGTTGCACTTCTCTAGTTTCCACCCTAAACATATTAAACAAAACCATTCCCTACGGACAAACCCTGCGCAGACACAGGATCTGCTCAGATGAGGAGGAATGTGACGGACACCTGAAGATGCTGAAGAACACCCTCATAGGAACAGGATACGATGCTCAACTCATCGATCACTAGTTCTAAGGTGCCACAGCGAAAAACTACAAAGACCTCCTCAGAAGACAGGCACAGGATACAACCGATAGGGTACCCTTTGTCATCCAGCTCTTCCTCAGAGAGGAGAAACTATGCTATGTTCTTCGCAGCCTTCAACATGTCATCAATGATGATGAACATCTCACCAAGATCTTCCCCGTGCCTCCACTTCTCGCCTTCAAACAACTACCAAACCTTAAACAGACCGGGGGAAACGCTTCTGAAGGATCTCAATGCTATGAATGTAGACATTGTCATGGTTGGGCCCAAATTGGGAAGGCCTGAATGTGGACTGTAGTCCATTGGGGATGATCTGGTTCCGTAGGCAGGTACTAAGAAAAGTGATGTGGCTGTAGTACCTGGTTTGCTTCAGGACATGGTCGAGCAGTTTCAAGGCCGAAGAGATTACGAGAGAGTTGCAGTGGGAGAGAGATCCATTTCTGATGAAGGGTCTAGGCCCGAAACGTCAGCCTTCCTGCTCCTATGATGCTGCTTGGCCCGCTGTGTTCATCCAGCTCTACACCTTGTTATCTCAGATTTTCCAGCATCTGCAGCTCCTACTATCTCTGATACAATTTTAACCCCACTGCGAAGCCTCTTCTAAGGATGCCTTCCCTGAAGAAGTTACCCTCCTCCCTCCGGACAAACCTCAGGGGATCTCTCTCCCACTGCAACTCTCTCATAATCTCTTCGGCCTTGAAACTGCTCAACCACGTCCTGAAGCAAACCAGGTACTACAGCCACATCACCTTTCTTAGTACCTGCCTACAGAACCAGATCATCCCCAATGGACTACAGTCCACATTCAGGCCTTCCCAATTTGGCCCCAACCGTGACAATGTCTACATTCAAAGCATTGAGATCCTTCAGAAGCGTTTCTCCCAGCATTTCTGATGAAGGGTCTAGGCCTGAAACGTCAGACTTCATGCTCCTATGATGCTGCTTGGCCCGCTGTGTTCATCCAGCTTTACACCTTGTTACCCCTTAAACAGACCATTGTTCGCAGCAAACTACCTAGCCTTCAGGACAACATTGACCACAACACTATACAACTCTGCCATGGCAATCTCTGCAAGACATGTCAGATCATCGACATGGACGCTACCACCTCACGTGCGAACACCAAACCACGTGAATGGCAGATACTCATGTGACTCAGCCAATGTTGTCTCATACGCTGCAGGCAAGGACGTCCCGGGGCATGGTACATTGGTGAGACAATGCAGACGCTACAACAAAGGATGAATGGAAACTGAGCAACAATCACGAGACAGGAATGCTCCCTCTCAGTCGGGGAACACTTCAGCAGTCAAGGGCATTCAGCCTCCAATCTTCGGGTAAGCATCCACCAAGGCATACATCAAGATACACAGCAACACAGAATAACCGAGCAGAGGCTGATAGTCAAGTTCCATATCCACGAGGATTGCCTCAACCATGATCTTGGGTTCACGTATTGCGACAGGTGACCCCAACGCACTACACACTCTCACACACACACTCACACACATGCACACTCACACTCACAGACCCTGTCTCACTAAACACACTTACACACACACACTCGCACACATTCTCTGTATCTCACACACACACACACGCTCTGTATCTCACACACACACACACACACGCTCTGTATCTCACACACACACAC